AGAGCCTTTTCAAATGAAAAAGGATAAAGAGTTGGAAGGCATAGGGAGGTGAAGGGGGCAAAAAGAATCAAAATATGTTGTATACATATACAAACTCCCCACAATAAAGTAATTATGTACTGCAAACAAATACTAACAAAAATGCATTACTAATTTTTTAAATAAAGTGCATTAAAAATGAAATAAATAAGTATGTGTCAAGCTGAAATAGAGCAGAGAGAGCTAGAGCTTATCTGATGCTCTCTATCATTTTCTCCATGGTTACAGTCCACAGATTGGCACTATTTAAATGAGTTACTGAGGCATTGTGGGCAACAGCCAATCCTGAGGCTAAGCACCCTTGCTCTCATTCAGTGGATCTATAACTTTCTATAGAACTGGCCCTAGCAATAGATGGTCAAAACAGAGTTGGAGAGCCCACTTCTCTTTTCCATTAAATATTTTTTACTTTGAATTAATTGTATATTCACATGCAGTTGAAGACACAATGAGGATGATCCCCTGTGTCCTCTTATCAATTTGCCTCAATGATAGAATCTTGGAAAACTGTAGTGCAATATCACACCAGGGTAGAGACATTGACACAGTCCATTCATTTGGTTCAGATTTTTTTCAGTTTTACTAGTGCTGAAGGGTGTGCGCATGTGTGTGCGTGCGCACGCATGTGTGTGTGTAACATATATATGCAGGTATGTGCATGTGAAATCCCATAAGCTTTCATCATGTGAGTGTGATTTTGTCATGAGTGGATTCACACACTCAATACACTACCAAGGTGAAGGCACAGAGCATTGCCCTCATCATGAGGAACCTTCCTGTCACCCTTCATTGTCACACTTCCCTCCCCTCCCATCCACTCTTCTCCTCCAGCCTTCTTAACCCATAGTCACCACTAATCTGTTCTCCATTTTTATAATTTTGTCATTTTAAGAATGTTTAATAAATGGAATCAGACTTACACTATGTTCTGAGATTGCTGGGATTGGTTTATTTTGCCTGACACAATTCCCTACAGTTCCATCCACACTATTTTGTGTGTCAAGGTTCACTTCTTCCCTACAGAGCCCCATATTTTGTTTCATCCTTTAGTTGGTTGAAGGATCTTGGCTTGTTTCTAGTCTGAGAATTGTTAGAAATAAAGGTCCTAGGAATATTTTTGTAAAGGTTTCTATGTAAATATAAATTTTAATTTTTTTAGGTTAAACACGTAAGATGCTATTGCTATGTCTTGTGCTAATTGCATGCTTGAGCTTAACTAATTTTTGTGTCTTATTTTCTTTCATTGCCAAGACAAAATACCTGTCACCTAAAGTTAGAAGGGGAAAGGTTTATTTAGCTCACAGCTTGCAGATGTTTTGGTCCTTAATTAGGTTGCTCCAAGGAAGGATGGCACATGGCAGAAGAGTAACCATTCATAGAGATGGAAGACAGTAAAAGCAATAATGAGGGCAAAAAATGGAAAAGCAATCCTCTTTCTGTCCCTTTTATCATATCCAGGTTGCTAGGATTAGGGCAGTGCTGTGGAATAATCCAGAATCACCCAACTTTAATCTCAACATTGCATTATGAATCACTCACAAACTCTAGATTCAGCTACCTCTGAAAAAACTTGTCCACCATGATTGCATGAGGCTTTGAGGGGACATCTGTATGCAAGCCCTAACAAACTACTATCATACTTTTTCAGGTTAGATGTACTATTTTACATCACTTCTAGCACTGTATGAGAAATGCATGTTCTCTACATCCTTACCACCTTGGGTATGGTGCCCATTTGTCTATTTTGATACTTACGTGAAGATGCTTCACCATGGCTTAGTTTGCATTTCTCCAGAAGTTAATGAAACTGAACATTTTTCCATATATTTATTTGCGTGTGTATGTATATCATCCACAGTGACATGTCTGCTACTGTCTTTCATGGGTTTTCTTATTGACTTTTTTTTCTGTTGATCTTTGAGAGCTCTTTATGTATAGATGTTATTGCTTGTGTCTAGATGTCCCCTTAAAGACTCATGTGGACATATGTGGGGCTTTTCAAAAGTGGCCCTTATCTAGAGTACGTAACACTGGGTTTAAGTGTGTGCAGCTGGGATTACTGAATTAGTCCACTGGTTAGATTGGCATAATTCTTGGTGTCGACAGTGGGGAAAGTCCACCCTCGTGTAAGTGCTACCCATCCGAAGGGCCTGGATAGAACATAAGGGCCAGAAAGTGGGTGGTAGTCATTGCTTGTTACTGTTTGCTGCTTCAGTTGGTACTCGGTGTTTGCTGATTTTGCTGCCTTCTGCCTGTCATAAACAGTTTCTGTGCTGTGATGCCCCTTTGTCATGCCTCCCTGCTGTGGAGGCAGCTGATTATGAACTAAAACCTCTACAAGCTATGAGCCAAAATAAACCTTTTCTTCTCTAGCTTTGGGTGTCAGACATTTTGTCTCAGCAGCAGGAAAAGCAACCAACACACTCAATGTTACTCTTTTGTTGGATACATTATTTATGAATACTTCCTCTTAATTTGTAAGTTATCCTTAATTCTGATACTGAAAGCTTTTACAGAAAAAAAATGTTCACAGATCATACTTTTTCTGTCAAGTCAAAGAATTCTTCACTTAGCCTTATATTGCAAAGATTTTATCTAATTTTTTGTACAATGAACTTCAGAATGAAGTTGTTTATGACTGCAAGATATGTTGCTGGGATTGTGACAAGAAATGAATTGGCCCTATGAGTTAATTTAGAAGCTATGACATTTTTACTACTTTTGATTGATTAGTCTACTTTTATACTATAGCTTAATGCTGAATATGTATGTGTATTAGCAATCTCAACCCAATAGTGTGCTAGTGTATAGTAGGTACTTATGAAATATTTGTAGCAGGGAAGGAAGACAGGAAGGCCAAGAGAAATCTTACAGATTCTGGGCCAGTGGTCCCCAAATCTGGTCATAAAATTAATCATTGCTAAGCCTCAAAAAATTGCATATTTCTGGGTTTCGTCCCAGTCTTCCTCTTTCAGAACCTCCAGGACCTAGGCAAGGGAATCTGTGTTCTTACCACCCTCTGTAAGTGATTCTCCAGCACAGGCAAGCTTGAGAGTGTTCCATGGAGAGGCCAAAAGTGGAAGAAGTATGCAGGGGTGCAGTGTGCAGGGGTGCTGTGTGCCCTGGAGGCACCATTCCTCCTGACATTGGCCCTGCAACCAAGCAACCAAGCTGCAGACAAGTCCCATATGGCACTTCAACAGGCTCGTCAACAGAAATGGCTTAGTGCAGGCTTGTGGGCCTGGGGGAGACCTTTTCCTATGGGGGAGGGGGGACTCATTTCTTTTGATTCTATATCCCTAATTTTTTCTCCAAAGAGGAACACCCAGAGTTCAAAATGGTAAACACAGTCATTTATTCCCTTCATTGCATACTTGGTTAATTCCCTAATTGTGAGGCATTGAAACTCGAGAGAATCTGAAACAAGGTGGCTCAGTTCCCAGGAAATTTCTTTTTCATTAACAGCAGAAAAAGCGATGACCTACAAGACTTTTCTGTCAAGAAGAAATGAAGATTAGAAACAAATGCACATAAAGAGCAGTTCATGTATCAGATTTTATTTCTGCCTGGTTTCTATCTCTATATCTCTGTGTCTCTGTGTCACTGTGTCCCTGTGTCTCTCTGCCTCTCTCTCTCTCTCTCTCTCTCTCTCTCTCTCTCTCTCCCTCTCTCTCTCTCTCTTTTTCTCCCTCCCTCTTCCCCCAGTTGTATCTGTGAGATCTTGACTCAGCCATATGTCTCCTGTCACATGATATAACTATGTTCCAGGTCTATTTATTTTGAGCATTTAAAAATTCACATGGTTTATTTTTTGTCATTGTAGCTGTGATCTGTCTTATAATCATGCTGGATCTACTACTTCACTTTTCTCATTTCATTTTTTCTCCATATAATCATTAAAATCAGGTGTTAAGTACAAAAAAAAATTCCCTTTAAAGGAATGTGTAACTGTTTGGGGTTGTATAAGAAAGATGTAGAAAGATATCAAAACATGTTTTCCCCATGGACTCTGGGTAAAACTCCTTAGCAGGTTCCTTGCAGCAAAGTGGGGCACTTTTAGAACCCCAGAAACTCCTTCTGTGAACGAGGAAGGCTGTATACATCCAGGACATGTGTGCCAGGCACTTGCCCAAGGTGCTTTGCTGGAAAAGGTTGGTTCTCAGCTCCTTTCTTGAGAAGAAGCCCCACCCCCACCCCAACACACACTTAGAACTTTCCATGATTGAAATCCCAGAGCTGTTCAAAATGAGTTCCAAGAAAGACAGGCATCCTCCTTCAGAATTAACCCGTAACACCTGGGCCAGAGACTCCATCCCAAGTCATCGTCTCTCCTGGTGACACAGTTGGTGGGCACATTTTTCTAGACCGAAGTCATTTGAGGTCTCTTCTGCCAAAGGGATCATCACTCTGAAACCCTGAGGTCCTATCCCAAGAGACTGGCTTGCACTCTGTGTTCACCTAAAACAATACACAGCTTTTAGTGGATGGCCTCATCATTGGGTCTGTACCGTCCCTGAATTGAACAGTTCAATCCCTTTCTAAATCCCACTGAGCTGTGGGCTTCACTAGGTTAGTTGGTTAATTAGTTAGTTAGTTGGCTAGTTAGTTAGTTTTTAGCCTCATAAGAGAGAAATGCAATCCTCATGCCACTTGGTGGAAAGGCACATAGATTATACAGAATCCCACAAACACATCTTACGGGAAATGTAAAATGCACCACAGGTAGAGTGATATGGATGCAGGTGAATCCCATTTTCATGATATAATCCTGGACAAATTTTAAAAACTGCTAAACCATTTATAAAACAGAACTAAGAATACCATTAAAACTTTATGTGAGATATTAAATCACTTACAGAAACTAGCTTTCTACCATAACTGTCTTAATGTCTAAGAAGATCAAATGGAATAATTAGGAAATAGGTTTATTAAATTAAAATCTAGCATGGCCCCCAAACCCCTGTGAGCTCACAGGGGGACTTCTGGAGGGTGACTGTAGCATGGGAGTCTATAGCTGACTGCAGTTAGGAGGTGGGGTCTGGTCGGAAGAGGAGGGTAGCTGGGGTTGTAGCCTGAAATGGTTAATCTCCCTTCCCAGCTCTTTCCTGCACTCACTGCTTCCAGCCCATCCAGCTATGAGCAGATGTCCTCTACCAGGCCCCTCTTCCCCTTTGCCCTATCTTGGAGCCAGCTGACTACGACTGAAACCTTCACTAACCATGAGCCAAAATAAGCCTCTCCTCCTTTAGATTTCAGATGTCTGGTCTTTTGTCCTAGCAACTAGGAAACTGACCAAGACAAGGTTTAAAGGATACACTCAGCCATCCCTAAGCAAAGTGCTTTTTCTCTCCTCTGAAACCTCTCCCCACTCCCAGGGCGAGTAAGATAATGTATATGGCAGAAGCCCTTAACCTTTTGAGGGTTATGGGCCTTTTGGAGAAGGTAAAGAATGTTGGCTTTTATAAAAGAAGCATAAATGTCTAGGTGAGGGGGTCCCTGAGTGTATGTAGCATGGACCATTTTGTGGAAGCCATGCCCAGAGTTCATGCCTGGAACACCAACACCTGCAAGCCAGCCTTTGTCTGTAGGGGAGCATGTGAGCTGCTCTCTTTGTGCAGGACAATAGAGCACGATAGGACTCATCTGAAGCCATGGCCCATAGCTGAAGCTTAATCAGCCCACCCAGACCCTACCACCTCACCATACATGGGAACTTTTCCCACCCCAAAGAAGAAATTGACACAACTGAATGTGTTCGAAAGTTTACATTGTTTCACTGAGGCAAGTCCCCACTTTACATTTGTGATAAAAAAACAGCTGGAACTTTGTAGCATCTTGGCATATGTTGGCACTTAGCTCTTACAGTGACAACAGGAGGAGGGTCTGATTGTCTCCAGGAGACATGCACCTGCATCTTGGTTTTAATGTCATTTGCTGCAGGTCACCCAGCTAGTAGGGGCAGAGCTAGGCTTGGAGCCAGACCCCCAATCCTTCGCAAATTCCCTGACCCTGCTCCTCTGCTCTGTTCCTGGTGCTCCGGTCCTTAGTGGTCACCTCTGATCTTAGGTCCTGTAATCAGAGAGTTCCAGCTTTCTTTTGTCGACTCCCAACTTCTAGGCAGCCCCTTCCCCACTTAGAAAGTCTCCACACTCCCCAGTTTTATGCCTTCCAGCCTTGTCAAAGTGTCAGACTTCCCCCATAAATTCCAAGCAATGCCTTCAAAGCCTTGGAATCATCCTATTAACTTGTTGCTCCCTATTTCAGATAAGAACCTGCATGTACTTTTCACATCCCATTTGAATTTTAAATATCTACCCTCCTTGTCAGCTTGACTGCTAGCCTCCTCTAAGAATCCAGTTCAGTCACTTAAATCCCCTTTCATACAGCTGGGGAGCTGTGACTGGGACAACATGGGGTGAAAGTGAACAAGTGTGATTCAATTATCCCAGAATCTTCACACACTGAAGCCTCCGTCACTTTCAATTGGTCTTGGAAATAGGTTTAGGTGAAAGCTTCCAGAACAGTCAGCAATTTTTGCACTGCAACTACACCCTTTATGCTTTACCAGACTGTTGGCTGGTTACCTACCTGTCCAGAAGTTAGTTAACCTCCTTCACTCCAGGACCAAGGTCTGTGCTATCTTGAACCTTCTTCTTGTGCACCCACCCCAGCCTGGTGGTCCTGTCTCAGGTTCAGGGGCTCCTGGCATTAACAGTTTGCATTTTCTTGATTCTGATCTGCACCCAGCACTGTGGTGCAGTGAGAAGACCCTGCTGCCCCAACGCAACACTCTTGCCCAGAAGTTTACCCAGCAGAGGCACCTGTAGTACATACAACAGGAACGGGCTCAGTACCTGCCACCCCTGGGAGGAGCTTGCAGCTTAGGCAAAATGCTGTGGCCACGCTCACTCCAGGCAGCACAGGAAGGCACTGGGCTTATGAGTCCTGGCAGCAGAGACCAGGTCCTGAATTCCTCTTCTGTGTAAAATAGAGGAAATGGCAGTCCCACTTTGTAGGGTCATTGTCATAGAACAAGGACCACGGTGAGCATTCAATGAAAAATGGCTGCTGAGATGTCCCTGAGGGGCCACCAGCAAAGTTGGTGACACAGAACATCACTCTAGTCTACATGGACTCAAAACAAGGAGCCCCTGGTGAGGGCTCAGACACACCCCTCCCAGACCACATGGTACCCACCTGTGGGTGTCATCACTGTGTCCTCAGGCTCCTCCAGGTCTTCCCACTCACTCTCGCTCCCCTGACTCCCTTCCAGAGGCCAGGACTCTGGACATGCGTGCTCAGAACAGAACTGTGGCAATGGAATGGTTCCCAGGTCCACCTCCAAACATTCTCCACAGGGCAGTTGGTCTTTAGATGTACAGCAGATGGTCAGGTACTCTTTGTCTTCCCAGGTGAGACAGAGGGCTTCTGGTGGATAACACATGTCCTCTTCACCACAGTCCCTGTCCAATCCCAGACCAGAATACAGAAACTTGTGTGTCTTCCAGCCTTGGTCAAGAACTCCTCACCCTGCCTTCCCATAATGCATCCAGGGAGACCCAGCCAGGGTTCAAATAGCTATTGCCAGAGGGGAATCTGGGCACAGAAAGCAAACAGCGAAGAAGGCAAGGCAATTGTCCTGAAGGAGGCCTCAGTGTTATGAAAGCAAAGAGCAGCACACACATATTACAGTCCAGGTGGGAATCAGGGCAGCTAAGAGCATTATCAGAGCAGTAGGCAGCTTCCCAAGCTTAGGAGACCATGGGCAAATTACCAGAAGGTGCAGCATGGCAAGCTGTGACCCAGGTCTAGCCTGGGTTTTCCACATGGCAAGCAGAGACACACAGAACCTGGATGAGTTTATTAACTCTACAGTGCCTCAGGTTTTTCATTTTAAAAAGGTGGGGTGGGGGAAGGGACAGCCCTGAGCTGCACAGGAGAGTAAGGATGCTGATATGAAATGACCCCATTCACAGCTCCCATGGCTCCTGGCCCACAGTGAATTTGCAGTGGGTGTGAGAAGCAATTGTTATGACTGTAATGATAACAACTATTCCAGCAAGGAGCTGGGGGAAAGAGCCAAAGGACTCGGGAGCCACTCATGCAGGCGACCTTCAAACACTTTGTGCAAACATCAGGTCCTTTTCTGAGCACTGACTATTTAGGGAGGCAGCCAGCTGGAGTGACATTTACAACCTGTGTCACAGGAGGGACAAAGGAGGCAGGAGAACAGTGTGGCTTCTTATCTGGGGATGCAGCTACAGATGAAAAGGTGACAAAATGAGCCTTTTGGGGCTGCCCCCAACTCCCCATCCAGGGCAGTGTGCTTTGTTCAGTGCAGCACACCTGCAGAGCGGTGCTCAGAAAATATCTGTAGCAAGTCTGGTTAGCGAGGATGAGAGAGAGAATCTAAGAGAAAAGCACAGAGGTTAGTTTTTGCCAAATTCCTGGATCCTTGTTTCTCAGTCTCCTTCCCTGCCCCCAAATCAGTGGGTTGGCTTCGTTGTCCCCACAACGCAGCCGCTACTACCCTTCCCCTTCCCAAAGTGCCCTTCCTTTTAAAATTGGTTCTGATGCCACTCAATAGGTAAAGCCACCACCCACATACCCTGATGCCATCTGTCCCAACCCAACCCGAGTTTTGTTATAAAATGGGCATGATTTATGCCAATGAGAAATACAGGGTGTGTAAAAGTGCAATTCATGTAAATATACACATGCGCATGTATATAAAGAAAGATTCTATTGGACTAAATAACACAAACATTCACCTTCAGGAAAGAAGTATTTCAAAATTGCCAAGTGTTTAGAGGGAAAATTGACTTAAAAAATCAAAGTACTTGCCCAAATTATGCAGAGACTGTGCTTTCTTATAAACACAGACAGGAAATATCCAGCAATGTTCATCAAAAAAAACAGAAAAGTGCACCTGCTACCCAGGAAGGCCCTGTTTCCCAGCCTGAGGGCACACAGCACCGTTGTCCACCGGCCACTGTGCTACCTGGTTGTTCCCCAAGTCACCCTTATCTCCTCACAGCTTCCACCCCTCTAATGAGCTCTCTAGATTTCCTGTGAGGCTGCAGCTGCTGGTGCTGCATGGACGGAGACCTGGAAGCCACCAGCCTCAAGGACAAGAAGCGATCAGGCTGTCCATGCGCTGGAACTTGGTGGCTCTGAGGGTGAAAACATAGCTCTCCTTCCACCACAAGTCTGAGAATGACAGCCTTTCCTTCTGCACTCTCACAGATACAACCAGGCTTCCCTTGGAGAGCTGACCCTAAACTTGACCATGGGCATGGGAAAATGTCAACAAGGAAAGACAGCACACTGGAGGAGCTGTGTCTCCCAAGGCACAGCCCATTTCATGGAAAGGGAATGATATGGTGATCCGAGGGATCTTAAAGGCAGTAGCATTCTTTGCGGCAAGGCCATGTGTTTGGCATGTAGATGTGCCAGGTGGCAAGGCAGGGTCCTTCACCAGCACTCAGGCCACTCAGGGCCTCCAAAACAAGTGTAGCTGGCCTCCTTCCCATGCCTGAAGGGGTCAGGGCGCTTAGAGCCTCTGCTCTGTCCAGGTCCCCTTCATGGGTTCTCCACCAGCCCCTTTCCCACCCCATAGCAGGGCTCCACCAAATCCTGCTGTTCTTCTGCTGCTATCTCTGTGAGAGGAACCTCAGTTCAGCCTTGAAGTATGACATCATTCTAAAGACTCAGCTCATTTGGGGACATTTGCAGAGGAAAAAAAAAAAAAAAAACAAGCTCAAGGTCCCTGGACAGCTGTCTGTCAAATAACTTCCGACATTGCCAGTCATACAGAAAACCCACTACTATTATGGACTACTGGACTATCTTGGGATATCTTGCTGAATTCACACACCTATAATATTTAAATGACAAAACTAAACAAAAAATGGGATACAAATGAACTACCATTTTGTATCTGTATATTCAAAATAGGATAGATATACAGCTACATTCTCTTAATTCAATGAATAGAAAGATTTGTTCTAAAAGTGTTTGTAAACAGGATATCATGTCTGCATCTTGTACAATGACTAACCACTATGAAAACAATATGCAATATATTAATTATTGAAACTGTCCTACTAATTCTACTAATTTTATTTGAAATTGTCTCATTGCTATTTGTTTCTCAATAAGATTATGGAACAAACAAACAAACAAAACAAAACAATACATCTGGACCACCCAGTCATCTCCACCTCTCACGAAGACAGATCAAGTTAGCAGAGAGCACTTCAGACTTGAAATGTTCAGGGATCATAATGGTCTATTTCTTTTTTCTCCTGTCTATTTCCTCACACTAGAACTCACCGAAGTTAGGGTTTTGGTTTTTTCTTCTTCTTCTTCCTTTATAAAATTTTTAATGAGTGAGACTTTTTAGTACCAGTTGACATCAGTTTCTAATCTTATTCTCTGAAATTCTGGGAACTTTAACAGGTTGTAATTTTCTAAACAGGAACAACACTTAGTTTCACTTTTGTACTTTTACAATTAGACATGCTATATTTCTAAAATATCAGAGATTTTCAATACCGTCAAATAGTTAAGACGTATACTTTAACCCAGAGTTTTCATAGTTTGTGATTTTAAAATAAAAGCAAATTAAATAATTTCTAAATTTACATAGAGGGGTAGTGACACCTGAAATTGTTTCAAAGTTACCAGAAAACATGTCATTTTCTTGTTATGGCATAAAAGGCAGCAAAGAGGTCTTTATAAGGAGTAGCTAAATGTGACATCAACCAAAATTAGGTTTTGTGTCTCTTCCTGTGGGGCTCCACCTTCTCTGCTTCTCTAGCACCAGGTTCCACCCTACTGTCCCTGTTGGTCCCAGGGGTGCAGCAGAAGGCTCTGGGCCCTACTCCCACAAACTGCACTTAGCAGTTAGTGGGTCAGCATGCAGCGGCTCCAAGACCTCAAGGTAGAGAGGACAAGGGCACTGCAGATCTGAGGCACCAACAGTAAGCCCTAGCTAGAGCTATGTGTTTAGTTGTTATCAGAGAGGTGTGTGTGGTGAAGTGAGCCTTTCTGGGAGTCTGCAGGCATGTGAGGGAACACAGAGAAGGCAGCATTCATACCTGCCTGCCGTGGGCCCTGCTGGGTGTGAGGCCACTGCTGGACCTGGCCAGGCTGCGCCTCACCCTGTCCAGCAGCCAGCTTCTGTCCTCTCCAGCTGCTCTCATCAGGGCTGGCTTAGCAGCTACAGTTGCATTAAACCTTTCATCTCCTAGTGGTCCTGTGATTTCCAGGCACAGTGCCCTACTGAGACAGTGTCTGCCACTTTAGGCCCATTTCAAGGACTCCTGCTTTATTTTGCATTGTTAAGTGGCCACAAATACTTAAGTTATCACTTTTACAAAATGAAACTTGGAGAATTTACATGTATCTTTACTTACATGGATTCAACTATTTATGAGAAGGAGAGGGAGGAAGAGAGAACCTTAATTGCTCTGCAATGACCAACTTTTCACCCACAGGATACAAGCCCTAAACATGTGGGAGCAGGGAACCCTCCATCTCCTCCAGCAGTCTCAGCTCCTGGATATACATTTTACATAGAGCATAGCCCATAAATATAAGCCTTTAGATTTTATCTAGGCTTGAAAAAAAAAAAGATTTGCTTCCATAACTGGAAAACATGTAACATCACATTATCCAAAGGGATGTTCAAGGGTAATATGAAATAATGGGATTTTCACCTCTTACCCACATTTTAGAAACTAATCTTGCATCAACTGCATCACATCCATGTTCTCCCAACTTTCAGCAGGCACAGAACCCCAACTTTCCTCCATGACAGCTACTATATGGTACTTCTTTACAATGCCAGGCTTTGTGAGAATCTACCGCTACATAATCTTTTTTTTAATTTCTAGAAATAGAATGTAGAAAAGAATGAGAACTAAAACATGAAATGAGATCTTCTTCAAGCATCCTCTGGGTTTCCTGGGGTGCTGGCAGCCATCTGGTGCTAGGAGTAGCCACCTGGCAGATTGTACGTTCTGGCAGTTGGATGGGAATTTCAATTGATGGGACCTGTCATTTAGCTAGAAATAGCCCAGGAAAAGGAAGGAATACAGACTCATATTAAGCCCTACTATGTGCCAGATGCTGCTCTGTGTTTTGCTTTTGACCTGCAGTGACTTGTGGAGTAGCTATGGTCCTTACTTATAACTAGGAAGGGACATCAGCTCTCCAGGTAAACCACCAAGTTGCAAAGATGAACACAAGCTTCCTAAAGTTCCTGCTCCTTTTATTCTAAACTGCACAAAATGATTTGACCTGGATGTCAGAAACAAAGAGGTAGTTGGCCTCAGAATGCCAGCTCAGAGCTACAGAAATATCTAAGAAGGCCTGCAAAGAGCCATCATACCACTCTGTGATCCTAATTCCAAATCTACATAGGAGCAGGGACTGCCTTGTGTGACTGCTGGGCAAGTGCCATGCTTTCCCTCCTGTGAGGAAGGTCGACAGCCATATGCACATGGAGCACAGGCTTGTATCCTGTTGGAAGAGCTCTCAGGGTCTGAGTCTTTCTTTTGGGGGTGTGGGAAGATTGCTGAATGGAAAAGAGACAATAAGGTAAAATTAAAACCAAGACATATACAGCAAAGCTGTTGCCCATGGCTGCATGGACCGCACAGCTAAGATCAGAGGCTGTACTAGAATGCCCTGGACAACTTTCATGATGCTCTTGTGTGACCCTCCAAAGGGAGACCCTTCCAAGAATGACAGATTTGGGACATCTGGTACACCTTGGCAAGTAAGAACACTAAGCCAAATGTAATTCAATTTAGAAAAACTAAATAGTGTGATTATTTTTGCCAGCAAAATGACAAAAAACAAGTAGATGACATAAGAAGGTGGATTTAATCTTAATATAAGGAAGGACTTTGTGATCAACAAGTGCATGATGATAACATGGGTCACCTGTAGAGGGACTGAGCTCCGCATGCCTAAAAATATTTGAGCAAAAGCTGGTATTTCTTAAGAGCAGGATGTGACAGAGCAGATTCCAGCATGGAATGCGTGGTTACGTTCTATCATCTGACACAGAAGAGGCCGATAGTCCATGACACCAAGAATGAAGCACTTCTTGCATATGCTGACAGTTACTAAATAACAATATTAATAATAATGCCTACTTTGAGTAACTATTGATTACCCTGGAATATAGGCATGTGCAGAATACAGAGGTACCTTATAAGCCTGCAGTCAGGGTCCCTGTTCATCCTCCCAAACTACCTGGTAGTAAAATCTTTAAAAACACAAGCAGGGGTTTCCTTGTCTGCTGGGAGTTTGTATATGTCCTGCAGGAGCACGCTAATGGCTGTCCTTGGATAAGGCCTTGTAGGTTATTCACTTTGCTATTTTATCAGGTGTACCAAGCACTACCTAGAGTATAACCTCAAAAACAGCAATAAATATACTTAGGTTTCTATTCACAATCAAATGATGAAAATGAGAATCACTGGTAGATATGCTGGCAGTCAGCACCCTGACCTGCTGCACAAATTAGCGGGTTGTTTGACTGATGCTATGTCCTAGAAGTTGTATCTGGATGCTTTCAGAAGTGTGTGCCTGGCCCCTGTTTGTCACAGTTCTTCTCTCAGGGCTCCATCATCTCATACTCACCACTGCTGCATCTGGGCGCCTTCTGTGTCCATAGGGGACAGTAGCTCCAGGACCCCCTCAGGTCCCAAGTCTTACCCAAGTCCTACCCAGGTCTCCAGGTGCTAGAGTCCCTTACATAAAATATAGGACATATTTGTGTATAAGCTACATACACCCTACCATGAGCCTCAAATCATCCTTATATTACTTAGACTTCCAAATAGAGTGGAGATGTTACGTAAATAGTTGTTACATTATATTAGAGGTAATGACAAAAAATCTGTATGTGTTAAATCCAGGTGCAATTTATCTTATAATATATTCAATCTATGGCTTCTTGGATCCACAAATGCAGGACCCAGGAGTCCAGAACACTGACTGCACTTCCAGTGCCTATGAGTCTGCTCTAGCCACTTGCCTAGGATGGCCGCCAGATAGGAGCATTTTAACCTCAGCAGGGTTGTACAGTAACAAACACAGATGACACTGACTTGTCTTGAGCCCATGTGTATTGCTACAACAAATGCTCAAAAGCAGCTACTGAGCCTGCATTTGTAGCCCTCTCTCTGTTACTACCTGGTTTCCAAGTGCCTTGGGCACGAATAACAGACATTTGTCAAACTGAAATGAGGAGTATGCTTTTCAGACAACAGGACTAGAAACACTTAAGGGTGAGTGGGCACAGAAATGAAGACTAAATTTAAAAATTATTATTAGAGTGAAGGTTTCAGTCTGTGTTTAAGATGTCAATGTATTTTTAATGCTTTACTAGCACCAAAAATGAGGATGTACGCAAGAGCTGTTTTTATACCACAGAGATTTAAAAGGCTGTGATGGTGCTGGGAAAAGGTTTGTGTGCTCTGAGAGAAATTAAGATATGCCATGCACAGCCTGTAAAACATCCTGGGGACAATCATGGCCTGGGTGGATTTGCTTCCCCAAAGCCCACAATTGTGGGCACAGCATTTGCAGACCTGTGCTCCTCTCCTAATGCCTCTCCTCCAAGAGCCCAGAACAGTGCTGGGCACGGATTGCATCTAGGTGGAGTCACGGATTATTTGGCAGCAATCATCTAGCAATGCAATACACACAATTTATAAACTGTCTTCAAAGTCACAAGTCTTACCTGCCAAGTCTCCTGATGTCACACACAGAATAGCAGTTCTGCCTCATATCCTGTTCCAAAGGGGAAGCCAGGGGTGGCACCTTTGTCTCTTGGTGATGTTGGCATAAGTGAGGATGAGAGTCCACAGGAAGTGCCAACCTGGCCCAAGTTCTGTCCTTGTCTTGACCTCCTGGTGCTTTTCCAAGAGCCAGGCCTTCTCCTGCATCTGAGGAAGTGCTGTCCCTCCAGCTGTCCTCCTGATCCAGGCTGGGGCTCTTCTCTGAGTCTGTACATGTTGCCCTGGTGAACTCTTTGTTCATCTGGGCCTATTGAAAGAAAAGCTAATGGTTACTGCCTCCATAGTATGCACTAAGAAAGCTCTAAAGCTTGCTTCTTTAAAAAATTAAAAGCTTTTTTTTACATTATTGTAGATCAGATCAGGTAAGAGATAGACTTGGGATCAGATTTTTCTCTACCAACTCCCTACCAGCTGCCTGGACCCCAGGCAACACACTCAACATTATTTCTATGCACCTTCACCTGGGCACAATGAAACGACACAATAAGTATGAGTGCTGCTTTTCTTAATGAAAAATGCAACAGTCACCCCTCATTCATTGATTACTTTCTGTGATTTCATGTATCAGAGCCTGAAAATATTAACTACATGTTATAACTTGTAGCTAGATGTCTCCCCCAAAGCCTCATGTACTCATAGGTGGGGCTTTTCAGAGGTGACAGGATCTAGAGTGTGTGATCAAGGAATCATGGGTGTGTGATTATAAAATTAGTCTTCTGGTTGGTTTTGCATAGTTGTGGGTAGAATGAATGATGCCCCACTATGTGTATGAGTGTTAGCAGCCCTAAGGGAATATAGCCTGGAAAGATACAAAGGAGAAAAAAAGGGTCATCTCTTATACCTTGCTGCCTTATGTCTTCTGGCCACCATGAATTGTTCCTCTTCTGTGATGGCCCTCTGCCATGCCGCCTTGTATTAGTGCTAGATAACTATGAACTGAAACCACTGCAAATTGTGAGCTAAATAAACCTTCTCCTTTAACTTTAGGTATTGGGTATTTTGTCTCAGCAATAAGAAAAAGGAGCTAAGACACTAGAAAATTCCAGAAATAAATAATGCATACATTTTAAATTACAGGCTATTTTGAATATCCTGGTGAAATCTCAGGCCTTCCTGCTCCATTCTGCCTAAAATGTGAATCATACCTTGGTCCAGAATACCTAAGGTGCACTCATTACCTGCTAATTAGACACTTTACAGCTGTCCTGATTATCATATCAACTACTACCATGTGGTAGTGCTTTGTTTAAGTAACCTTAATATATTTAATGATGCTCCAAAGCACAGGAGTAGTGATTTATTTTTAAATTTTTTCTAGATATCTTTATTTTATTTATTTTTTTTAATGTATTTAGTACAGGGCTCATAGGGTCTCACTATGTAGATCAGACTCATAGTGATCCTCCTGTTTTCAGTCTCCCAAGCACTGGGATTATAGATGTGTGCCACCATGCCCAGTCTCTAGATATCTTTTTTTCCCCATAGTTTTATTGAGAAACAAATAGCAACGAGACAGTCTCAAACCAAATTGGTAGGACAGTTTCAATAATTAACACATTGTATACATTCTTCTTAATGTATTTAGTACATTAAGAAGTGGTTAATTGCTGTACAAGATGCGGACATGATATCCTATTTACAAACACTATTAGAACAAATCCCTCTATTCATTAAGAGAATGTAACTATATATCTATCCTAACCACTTTGAATACACAGATA